TTTGTTAAAATGCCCTTCAGCAGCTTGGGTATCACAGAAGAGGAGACTTTTAATCTTTTTATTCCACAAGCAGTTTGGTTACTGGGTGCGAGGAGAGAGAAGTTCAACTTCTGCTGTGCTGCTGTGATAAGGAGTGTAGGCATACTGTGATGTCGGTACCAGAATATAGGTGTTTGGTCCCTTTTTCTGTTCATCCGTCCTGTCCTGGCGGCTGTCAGTAGAACACAGGGGAGCAGCGGGGTTAAATCCCAAATCCATTGTTTTGGTGCTGGCAGTTCCAGGCCACTTGCCCCCTTCTTGAGCACACGTGCAATATTCCTGTTTGTGCTGGAGCCCTCTCTCTGCTACGGAGCAGCGTCTTGGCTCTGTCCCTGTTGAAGCATCCAAAACCGTGGTGTGGCTGGGTGTGAGTTACCTGGCATGACTTGATCCAGTCAAACCTTTCCACATCGTCTGGGCCTCAAGACAAGCCACCAGCGTTTTATTGCCTTTTTATTTGCACTTTATTTTCTTCTTTCCTCATAGTGTTTTACTAAGGAAGTGTGTTCTTTGGAGGGGCTGGATTAGGGGGCAGCCACCACAACAGGCATCTCTCTAACCTAGCGTTTTGTTCAGACACTTTCTGCAGAGGGGAATTAGAGTATATGGGGCAAAGTTTTTATTTATTCAGCTGCCCATAAGAACTTGATTGTAAATAAACCTGTGTTCTGCTTTTAAAACCCCACAATGCTCTGATTCATTTATTTGTGTGTCTGTGTGTGAGATCTTGTTCTGAATGAGTGAAGAGGGGAACCTGAAATGTGTTTTTTCTGTACTCTGTGTTCCTGATGAATTGTGGATTTGTGTTCAGCCGCATTGTGGGATTTGGCGTAGAGAGGGAAGGAAGATAATGCTCTTAGCTTGAAGCTGGACGTCCTGCAGATACACCCTGCCTCAGAAATACCGTTTGGAGACTGAAGGAGTCTTACCACGCTGAACAACTGCCTCTGTCCTTGGAAGGTTGATGTATTCTTGGATGCTTTGGATAAGTTACTGAACTGAGGAAACTAGTATCTCTATTTCAGACACTGCTGAAAATAGAAGGCTTTTTCTCTTGTGATATTTCGACTGCTGCCTTCCTAAGTTTTTAAGACAGTAGCAGGAGTTGCATGTCTCTTCAAAAACTGAAAACACTTGTTCAGAACTTTAGAGTAACGAAGCAAAGCCTTCAGCTGTTCAACGTACAAATTTCGTATGTAACTAAGAGCCATCACTGACCACCCTCACATTTTCATAGAAAAGAAGCCTTTTGTCCAGCTCTTGGAATTAAGAACTAAAGCAAAAATGAAAAGATTCGTGTTGGCGTTCTGAAGCATTTCTAAAGGCAAGGTGATTTTCCTTCTGCCTGTTGCTGTGGCAGGAGGTGCTGCTTGAAAAGGCACCTGCCAGGAGTCCAGGTGACCTTGGTTACAGTGGAGAAGAAGCAGGTCACTAAATGACAGGTCAGCATGATGAAAGATTATTGGGAGATTAACATAATGATAACTCCGCAGGCTCTGCTGAGGAGGATCAGAGTGGGTTTAGGATGTTTATAATTTAGGCTGCTACACTTGTGGTTTTCTAGAAGATGGACACAGATTCTTACACAAAGGGCTTTGTTTTGCCTGTTGGTGCTGTTGCGAAGTAGGCTAAGAATACTGAAGGATAATGGCTAGCTAGCTAAGACCTTAAGCATTTTAGATTAAAATTCCTTAGGAGCAAGGTATGTAGGAAATTCTAGTCACCAATTTTAGCTTTTTTTGCTGTAGTTGATTTATTTACTTCTATTGCACCCTTTTCTGCTTCAACCTGCAAAGGGAAGAAGAGAAAACCAAGGTACAGTGCGGCAGCCACCTCTGCACAGCAGGTTCCTCTGCTGACTGTGGAGCTGCCCTTCGAGCAGTTTAGGGATGGGGTGGGTGGGCATCTTTCTGCAGGCGTAAGGCTGCGTTAGAAAGCGTATGTTACGGAGAAGCTGCTTCCGAGCTCCTCGGAAGGTGTTTGCAGTGGCACATGTACCCACACCTCTCGGGAGCAGCAGGGATAAACGGAATGCTCCTTCCCAAAACCAGCTTTCTCCTGTTAGCTTCTGTGCTGTGTGACTGAATAAAGGTGTTGATTTTGTGGGTTAATTTGTGGGGGTCTCTTCCCTGCTTCCTGCAACCAGCATCTGGCTTTCCTTCAGCAACCCAGGCACAAGCGAATTTCCATGGTTTGGGGCTGGCTGGTTTGTGTTTGCCAGAGTTGATTAAACAGAGTAGTGATTAAGCTCTCCAAATAATCCACCTCCAGTTAATAAAATGTTGCTGGAATTTGAGAACACTGAAAGAGCTGAGGAACACTGTTTGTGTGTTCATTTTTTGGAATAATTTGTGTACCCGGACTGCTATATTCAAGCAAATGTTGGTGATTGTTTGCAAGAAGCAAGCTTGATTTGTGACTTGCAAGAAGGGTGCTGTTCAGGCTGGCAAGTGGAGTGGGTATCATGGGATTTTTCTGATCAAACTAGCAGACGCAGCCCAGAGGAGAGCTACAGCTGTTTATGCAGCTTGCAAGCCAGAAATTACACGTATTGTTGTGCATAATGTCAAGACCAAATTCATGGCAGGGGGGGAAGCAATTCTTGGGGCATTCATGAAGAGAAAAGCTAAACTGATTGAAATCTCTGGTCCTGTGTCTTACATCTTGGATATTGTGCCCTGCTTTGTAAGTAAATTTAGGAGGGGAGGTGTACTAGCTAGCAACACGCTGTTTTGCATCAGCATGCCAGTGCGATGTTGGTGGGGCAATAACACGTAAACTGCTTAGGGATTGTGAGAGTAAGACATTGTTCTCAATGTTTGGTAGTCCTTCATAATGACATCTATTTATAGAGACATGATTTGGTGTTTTATAAACTCCGTTTTTCATAAATGGCTCTTGTCTGTTCAGTTTCGTGTCAGGCTGGATAGCTTGCAACCCTTGGAAGGAGAAGATAAAGAAAGAGCTTTAGATTAAAGCTGCTTTCAGTAACCGTCCTGTTCGATGTATGTCTGCAGTCCTTTACCAAGCATGCGAGTGTGACATTGTCGACATTTTCATTGACGATCCGAGCTTCCTTAGGTAATGCTTTGTGTTGCTGACTTCACCACTTTCCAGTTGAATCTTAGCACAGGTACAATATTTGCTCTTGGAGAGGGATTAATTCTTGAAATCCTAGATAGACGCAACTAGAGACGCGCTTTCAAATCCCCTACAAATTGTCTTCCTTGTTTGCTAAGAGGTTGGTGAGTCCCTCTGGTAGATGCAAAGAAGCACAGGACACGACTGCTTGGAAGATTCATCTTTCTTCAGTGGTCTAGGAGTTCACGTCTTTGTCCCGTGGCAGCTCCTGTGGCCTTTGGAACACGGCAAGGTATTTAATGGTATTTGCTGGTTTGTTTATTTGAGTCTACAGCATGAGTAGGGTGTCTGTTCAGCAACTAATACTATTACGGACTTGGAAAACCTACCTATAGTTCATAAAAATAGAAATGACCACGTGTGACGTCCTGTCTCTAATCTCTACCTTACATTTTTTCCAGCTTTCTGAGAAGGGCGATATTTCCTTTTTCTACAGTCTGCTGGGTGCAAATGGGGCCTAGAAGCTGTTTCTGCTCTTGAAACAGTTTTAAAATGGGAAAGCAAACGCGGAGATAGAATGGAAGCAAAACACAAGGACAGTGATGCGCTGCCAGAGCAACGGTCTAAGACAGTATGCTCCTTCACACAGGTCCTCCAGGGAGATGTGTAAGAACAAGGGCACCTGTAGCATCATCCTTTCCTGATGCTGCTCCTCAGCTTCAGAGTCTGACGGGGTTAAGGTTGTGCCTGGGTCATCCTGTCCAACATCTGCCAAACGCCTTTTCCCTGTGAATGCATCTAATCCTGTGAATCAGTTCATACCGGTGATTTCCAGAGCATTCTGCAGCAACACACTGTACTTTTGACTCTCGTGTTGCGTGGGGAAATGCTTCACTTCATTTTTAAATTGCTGTCTGATCGCTTAATTGGTTACTGCTATTTTATGGCTGACAACAAAGTGAGAAACTAATCTCCCTCTGCTTTGTACCACTCGGGCTTTCTGGGCATCTCTCTCTCGATATCTCTTGTGTCCTTTTGGTCCTTTTCCCCCCACACACTTCTTTTTCACCTGAAAAATCTTATTCCATCTGTTTTTTCCTTGGCTGCAAGCTGTTCACTTCCCGTGGTTATACCTGTGAGCTTTCTGGGCAGGTAGCTAGACTGTTACATTCTTAAGAACCATTCTGTTTTGAGTTCAGTGATGCCCTGCAAATAATGAGTTGCATTTGGTTCTAACTTAGGAAAATACAGTAGGACAGGTGAGTTCTTGTTTTGGGTTTGCTCTGACTCCTGACCAATACGTACCACTTTTCTAGGTCTTAGACTGAGCGTGCCGTATCCAAGATGCGGAGATGTGAGGGGTTCTAAAATGGTATAAATGGCGTTCTGTGTTGTATTCTTGATTTATTTCCCAATGACTTCTTTGCTTATGTCAAGACCTTCTTCCTAAGTGACACCAGGTAGAACTGTGCATGTCAGACTATAGCTGTATTTTCTTTGAGTGCAATGCTTTTCACTTACCATCATAGAATATATGGTATTTCATCACCTATCCAGTCTGCATCGTGAAGAACTCCTCCCACTTAACGTAGACAGCGTTATTTTTGGGAATCCAGAATAGCTTTGTGTCTGTGGGCAGCCTATTTGCTCCTTGTCTAGGCTGCTTTCCACTCATTCAAGGATATGTTCAACAGCAAGTGTCCCAGGACAGATGGTACTGCGCTGCTGTATACTTGCAATGGTAAAAAAACAAAACAAACAACTCCCCCTCCAACAAACCAAGCCCTGAAAATAGCCAAAACCCATATGTATTGATATCCTTTATTCCCTATATTTTTATCCCATTATTAATGAGTGAGATGAACTTCCTTCTTATCTCATGAGAATTTAGAGCCTCTGATGACAAATGTTGAGGTACTTTTGAAAACTGAAATACCTTGTGAGGTAAGTGAAATACCTTGATCAGATTGCCTTAATCTGTACTCTTACAGATTTCTTCACAAAATTACTCTCTCCAAAGGCCAAGCTATCCCTTCTCCTCCCGATTTTTCTATTAGTCTACTCATTTTTTAATGTGAATTAAAAAGAGTTCTTGGTCTTTTGTAATGTTTCTGAGGAGCTTTTTTCAAATAGATGTTTTTATGGGTTTTTTTGAATGAGGAACTGCTACAAAGAAACCCACTTTCTGGGCTGCATCTGAGTGTCTATTGAAATAGTCTTTGCTAAACTATAGATGGGAATAGCATGCTCTACCTGCCAATTACAATTCTGCTTTTATCTCATCCACCTATTTTGTTCTGATGTCTTTCCCAGGACCTTTTGGGGCAGAACAGCTTCACTGACGAACAATCACACACCCATCTTTGACCATGAGCTGCCCTGAGTCTCAAAAGACGGGGATGAGTGGGAAGAATGCGAATTCTCCTCATAAACAAGTTATCTTCAAAAAAAGCACCCGTGATAAAGCTGTAAGTACCATAACAATGGGTTTATATGGCTATGTGTTTTACTTGTAGTCGGACTGGAGACTTATTAGAAAGCACTTTCCTGTCCCCTTCATTTTTTTCTGAGGAAGGACCATGACCTGTATTTAGCACTAAGTTTGAGGAGGTGATGTAAACAGAGATTGTATGGCAACCTTCTCATATATTATCATGGAAGAGTAAGGCAACTTTCCTCTCACCCCTCCTGGGTTTGTACTCCTCCTGGTAAATGTTTAAAACAAAGCTGATTCGCTGTCTTTCCAACCTGATGGCACCAAAAGTCTTTAAATCAATAGTTCTTTCTCACATACACAAGTATTTATGTTGTACATAAATACAGCTGGAGCTGGTGTACATCAGGTCTTCAACTCTGATGTTCTGAAGGATGTTGAGTCTGGTGGGGACTGCATGTTTGCTGGGGAAAAAAAGAAAGTATTCCATTTAAAATGGAATTGTTCTGATCTCCACAAGATTTATATCTCTCTGCTGTGTCCCCCCTGCAACACACAACCACACAACCATCAGCACACTGTGTTCAACCATGGTCATCATCTCCCTACAGCTGACCATCTACCTGGGAAAGCGGGACTTCATTGACAACGTAGGGAACGTGGAACCTGTAGGTAAGTCCACAAGGTGATGTGCTGCCCTTCCTGCTCTCTCAACTCTGATTATCCTCTGTTAATCTTTTTTATTTTTTCCTTTCTTTCAGATGGTGTTGTGTTGGTTGATCCTGCAATGATCAAGGGGAAAAAAGGTTTGAGGTTTTATGCAACATGTGTTTCAGAGGTTGTTAGTCCTCTTTTGAAGTGAGATGCTGAGACAGAACCTTTTTTTATTGTTTTATGGGTACCAATGTAACTCTTTTCCCCAGTGAATGGGCTTCTTACTCAATGTAGTCTATGTTCTTACATATGGTATGAATACTTACCGGGTTATACAACAGTGTTGAAATGGGTTTCCCTGACTCTCTGTTGCAGGAGGATTTTACATCCCACCCTGGCTGCATTGTTAACCTGCTGCGTGTTTTATCCATCATGTGCTTCTTTTCAGTGTACGTGTCCCTGACCTGTGCTTTCCGGTATGGCCAGGAAGACATTGATGTGATTGGCCTCACCTTCCGACGGGACCTGTTCTTCTCTAGGGTCCAAGTGTATCCGCCTGCTGACAAGCCAGACTCTCTCTCCCACTTGCAGGAATCTTTGCTAAAGAAGCTGGGGAAAAATGCTTATCCCTTTTTCTTTACGGTAAGTACCTCGTAAGAGCCTCTGACCCTCTTCTCCTTGTCTGTTATTACCAGGCTGCTGAGACCCAGTGATGGACTGAAGACAGGGATTAATAGCGACTTCGTGTTATGCAAAGTTCCAATTTTGAGTGACAGGCAATGTACCAATTACTTTTTTTCTTACCATCCTACATGGTGAAGTGCAAGAAGATCCTAACTGCATGTGAAGAGCACTTTCCGTGAAAAGGCAAGGAAACATGCGATGGCTTTAGGCTTGCAACAACCCCATATATCCTTGTCTGCCCCATTCCCAAGGGGCTGAAATACTTTATACCATTGCCCCCGTGCTCACAGAGGAAATGTCAAATCCTTTCTCTTTTAAAAACTTTATGGATCAAACAAGCGGATAAAAAGCTCTTTGCCGGATGTTGTCAACAAATAACAGTTCATTGCCAAGTTTGGATTCTGACAGGATGTGCCTCCAGTACTGTCAGTGACATGGCTGCCTCAGCATTCCCTAAGAAGATCTAGGCTCTCATATAGCAACAAATCAGTCTTTGAATGGTTCTGCTAAATGGGTTGGTACCTGTTGTAATGTTATTGACTGCTCAGATACCATCTACTGATCTTCAGACTGCTGGAATCTCTAGTGGGGTGTTAGCACTCAGTCTCCATGAGCTACTCTGCAGCCTTCCCAGTTGATGTCGGGAGCTGCTGGCCCTGGAGCGAATGGGCACTGGCTGGCAGCTGGCTGGTCTGCACGGCCTCAGCTGTGTTCTGTCACAGGGATGCTTTGCTCAAGCTTCACGCCCGTGTGAACAGTGAGTGGTGATGCTGTGAGCTCTTTTGGTTGTATTGGATGGGGAGCCAGGTGCTTCAAGTGCCTGGACTTGTTCTATTTTCTCTCTCCCTTTTTTTTTTTCTTTTCTCCTTTGCTTCCATGGCTCTTAAAAACTATTTTGGAAGAGAGGGACTTGTTCATACATGGCGAGTATAAAGATCAGTATGTTAAGGCCCTTATCTTGGCCAGAACTTGAAAGAGTTACTACCTTACAGCAAGTGACCTGTTGTCTTCAGGATTGCTTTGTACCTGTTGTCAGCATTATGTTAATTAGAGTATTGCAGAGTTGGAAATCTTTGTAATACTGCTTTGGGGTATTTTTCTCTTCTTCCGCCCACAGTTTCCAGATTACCTGCCTTGTTCAGTCTGCCTGCAGCCTGCACCTCGTGACGTTGATAAGGTGAGACCAGTGGGACATTTGTGCTTATCATGGTTGAGGAAAGTCATACAGAAAAAGTCATATGAATTTATTTGGTTAGCTTGAGGGTTGAGTAAGGTGATGCTGGGGTTTACTGTGCTATGCCACAAATGTTAGGAACGCGACTGAAGAGCTACAACTGTGTGTCACAGAGTTGGAATTTAAGTCCTCAGAATAAGAAAGGGAATCTAGTCAAATAGCAGCAAGACTACGAAATCTGCAATGCTTGTAGTTTCCTTAAGGGTACCACATGATTTGTGGGTTGGCTGCACATAAAATAATTGTAGCTGTTCAGGCTACGTGAGAGAAAAGGAGACCGAGTGCCTAAAATCTCATCGGTCGCTATAAATAGCATGTGTTAAGACCTGCTTCTGAATCAAAACAAATGCAGAGGAGGGCTGGCTTGCACATGTCTGTAAATAAAACAAAAACCCTGGAATAAAAGTCACCAGTTAATGAGATGTTCTGCAAGGTTTCTGGTGCTATTTGTAATAGTCCTTTTACCCTTCACTGGACGCTTCTGTGAACAGGTGCGCTGACTAACAACTGGGCAAGATGGGATGCCGGTTGTAGAATCCAGTGCCACACAGGCAAGCTGTGTTTTTGCCACGGAGTGATATTCCAGCAAAAATTCCCATATTGTTCTGTAGAGAGTTACCTGGAGCTCACGCAGATGTCCCATGGCAGTATAAACCCGTTAAAGCAAGGGTCAGCTTGGCCTGACCAGCCCTTAGACGCTGGGAAGTAAGAAGTTTGACACCGAGTCAGGCATTGGCATTAGAAAGCCAATTCAGAAACTCAGTTCAGAAACCCAAGGTGGACTGGGGAGCCTCGTAGGCTGCTCAGTCTTACCTGTAGCATGCTAAGACCTCTACAGCACTGGTCTCACAGAAAGCCCTTTGGGAGTAGGGATGTCATCTGTCAAAGGCTGGGAATTAAGCCTCATTTATCAGAAGCAGCATGGAACAGGTGGATGCTGCCACACCAGTTGCCAGGGTTCTCCATTACAACAGTAGGAGGCCAGAAGAATTTTGCAGCTGGCAGGAATCTGCCAATTTCTGGTGTGTGGAATGATATTTAAACATCTGCAGATGTTCTTGGCTACTGACACCAGTTTCACAGCTGTCTTCTCTCTCTCTGGCAGACCTGTGGGGTGGACTTCGAGGTGAAAGCTTTCTCAACAGAGAATGTGGAAGAGAGAATTCATAAGAGGTAACAGAACGTGTGTGTCTGTCTGCAGCTTTGCCCACCTTAAAGGACGTGGGTGGTTCAGTAATGCACCTTGGCTGACTGTTCAGCTTTGCCCCACTGGCCAGTGGACTTCTTGGGTGTAAGCACATGTGAATGTAGAACTCCTGCCTCTGACAAGCACAAAGCACCACCATGTTGTCCTCTGCTGCTTCCCAGGAACTCTGCACGCCTGCTGATCCGTAAGGTGCAATATGCTCCAGAAAAGCCAGGACCCCAACCTTGTGCAGAGACCACCTGGCAGTTCTTCATGTCCAACAAGCCATTACACTTGAAAGCCTGCCTCAGTAAAGAGGTGAGGAGTTTGCCCCTGGGCCGTGGACATCATAGTATTGGCACGTCAATATGCGTTTTGCTGCCCAAAGCAGCTACTTTGTGTGTTACTCAGGCGGTCTCAGCTGAGACTGACTTGGCCCAGCACGCAGGGGCTCTAATGTAATTTCTGTCAGTAGCTGCTGCTGGGAGAGGCTGAGACCCTGCTGCATTTGAGGCTAAATAAGTCATTGAAAGAAGAGTCGTGAATCGTTGGGAAGGGTCACCTTGCCTTATCTGGCCTCTGGGAGGAGGTTTAGTCTGGGGGGACTAGAGGAGCTCAGGGCTTGGCCGAAACCTCCTGGCTGGATTTCTGAGCATCAGATTCCTTCTAGGTGTACTACCATGGCGAGCCCATTCCAGTCACTGTCACCATCAACAACAGCACAGATAAAACAGTGAAGAAGATCAAAGTCCAGGGTATGTTTTTACTGTTGCTTGGGATTGTTTGAGGGCTGGAAGACTGAATGGTGGGAGGGCTGAAAGAGAGCCAGAATTTAGTGCTTGCAACAGCTTAAGCAGGCAGCATGGGACAAGGCAGGAATTTGTCCCTCCACCCTGTCGCTGTTTCTTCGCTGTTCATCAAGTGAAACACTGCAGCCTTTTTCCTGGCTCTCATGGTTACTTGCATGGCTTAGTTTAGGCACCAGTATGTCCCCTCTAGTAAACAGAAAGGGTCTGGCACCTGCGGTGGGCGAGGCAGGTGCTGTGGGAGAAATCCACCTCTTTTGGGAGGCTGGTGGGAAGGGCTCGCTTGTCAATGTGACGCTCCTGCTAACTGGGAATGTGCCTACATTGCACACAGTTTTGCCTGGCGTTTCAGAAAAGTCTGGCAGTGCGAGAAACAGCTGCTCTGCCAGCGATGGTGTCATTCCTCCTGAGGAAGCTGAGGGCAGGGGCTGAGTTTCAGAGGCTCTTCAGTAGTGCGCCTGTGTTTTATTTGTGGCACTGCATGTTTTCATCCCACAAGCCCCATTGCACTTGGACCTGTGGAAGACAGTCTGAGACACAAAGGGCGAGAAAGAGAAGAGAAGGCAGGGAGGGAATGAAGGTTTTCACAAAACTCTATAGCAGAGAAAGACAATTCAGTGCTGGTTTTCAATGTTTTCACTGTCTAGTGATTCCCAAATATTTTTAGGCTGACGTGCCTCTGTCAGGCTTAAAAAGAACTTGTTCGTCACCAGATTCTCTCCTCATCAGTGTTTGTCGGAATTACCCTATGGTTTTTTTGGTGTTTGAATCGAGGATATAAGCTATTTATTATCCAGTCTGCTTGATGATAGTGTCTCCTTAATGCACATGCATTGGCTATAGGTACGCAAGAGATACAAGCAGACACACTTAGAAAGAGATCTTTGTAATGGAAAGAGCAGGCTCCCAAGGGAACCTGTGGATTATTGAATTTTTGACGTCTCCAAATAAAGGCTGGATGCCTTTCATGGACGATAGGCTTTAGCCATTTGTGTGCTGTTGGTCTCTGTCTAGGTCAGACTGTCTGACCTGGTGGGCCCTTCAGGCTCTGAGTGTGTTTTCCTGCTGTCCTCGTCATGTCTTCCATTCCTGAGACTCGGGGGAGCGAGGGGCAGCTATGTTGCTTCTGATGCGTATGCACAACTGATTGTCCTCTTTCTCCTTGCTCACTCAGTGGAGCAGGTTGCCAATGTGGTTTTGTACTCCAGTGACTACTATACCAAAGTGGTAGCTGCTGAGGAAGTACAGTGAGTAAATCTTCTGCTTGTCCCTTCTCGCTCCTTTACGCCCTTTTAACTACCCTCCTCCTCAGTAACGGGAGGTACTCCTGGCTGTAGGCTGGCAGTTGCCTGCGGTTACAGTGCTTTATCCTCTCGCCTTGCGTGTGTCCTCCACACCACCTGTACTCTCTGGATGCAGCTGGTCTCCTTTTCACACAGTCAGCAGGTACCCTGCACCTTTTATCAGAGAACAGGGGGAGGTTGCAAAAGAGGGGTTTTGTGTGATGAGTAATTAGCTACCAGAAAAACTTAGCACGAGCTGTGGAAGGCTCCCCATTGCTTGAAATCCTTACATAGAGACGCAACGTTTTTCTGAAAGGTGCTCCTGTTGAGTGGAAGTCCCGGATGCTCTAGCTTGAGGTCAGTCTTTTTCACACCATTCCATTTGGTTTCTTCTGGCTTTGGAAAGCCCATGAAAGCTTTAAGCCTATTGACAGTGTGGAGAACCACTTACTCTTTTGCACCGCACTGGCAGTGCAGCATTGGACTTTGCCTTGTGAGGAGGGTTGGACGCACCAAGACATTTTATATTTTGGGGGTTTTTTGCTCCATAGCTTAGGGACAGGGTTTCCATTGAGTACTGGTCTTCTACAGTTCATTTTGTCCAGATGTAGATGTCTGCAGCGTAGTTTGACCTGCTTTAGAAGTCTGCCTTAATGTGAAATTAGTAATTTTCCGTAAGTGCCTTTCCTCTCTGCTGATTATAAAGGGAACTTTTCTGACTAGTTTAGATGTAGACATCTGCATCATAGACAACTAAATTTGGACAGATAAATTCCACTCCTGTTGGATGGCTTTGTAATCTGATTTGAAATTCTCTTGGTTGGGAGTGTAATGCAAATCAGAGTCTATCACTTTGCCTCTCTCACCTGCTGCTTATTTTCAGGGAAAAGGTGCAGCCAAACAGCAGCCTGACCAAGACACTGACGCTTTTGCCCTTGCTAGCAAACAACCGGCAGACCCGGGAAATAGCTCTGGATGGAAAGCTAAAGGATGAGGACACCAACTTGGCTTCCAGTACTATGTGAGTAGTGTTTTAATGGTCCCAGGTAGTGGAAGGTTATAAAGAAGAGGGGAGGATGGAGGAAACGCTCTTATGGGAAGTTTGTTCCTGTAAATGTGTGTCCAGATGGGTATATCTAAGTTACAATGCTTATATTCATTCAGGGTAAATAGCGACCAGAGATCTGGAGAGGTATTAGCTGTCCCTGAGGCTTGTCTGCTCTGTCACTTGCAGGAGAGTAGGATGCTCACCTAGTTCTTGCTCCCGCTGTATATTGTTGCTGCGCCGCCTAACACTGCTGTCTGTTTTCTCTGGTAGTATTAAGGATGGAATAGACAAGACAGTGATGGGGATTCTGGTTTCCTACAAGGTCAAAGTGAAGCTCACTGTTCCAGGGTAAGAGTAACAGACTTTTTGGTATATCTGCATAAAGAGAGTGAGTACTTCATTGATGGGTGGGGAGAGGACAGGACAGTCCACCCTAAGAGAAAGGGCACACATTGTAGGACATCAGGCTCCCGCTAAAGCATAAATTGCCTGGAAATCAATCTTGGCCTAGCCAAAGAACTTGTCCCAAGCCAGGGGGTTGGATTACCTTCCTTAGACACCATATGACTTTACGGCTGAAGTATGAACCTCTCGTTTCCATTCTAATTTTTTGTTTCAAACCCATAACTTATTTTGTGAGAACTGAAGTGTAACTTTGTGTGAGCCTTTATGTTGGTGCTGTGGTTTAACTGGTAGCCAGCAACTAAGCGCCAGACAGCTGCTCGCTCACCCCTCCTCTTCCTCCTCAGTGGGATGGTGAGGAGAAGGGGACAAAAAGGGAAGGTCATGGGTTGAGATAAAGACAGTTTAATAAGACAACAAAGGAAATACTGATACTACTACTAATAATGATAATAATGAATATGCAAAACAAACTATATACAAGACAGTTTTCTCACTGCCCAATCACTGATTCGCAGCCAGTCCCTGAGTAGCAATCGTGGAAACTGGAACTTGCAGATTTCGCAAATTTCACAAAATTCCCAAAAAAGACCAAACTCCCAGATCAGAGAAGATTCAAACTCATGGAAAAGAGAAGAGCTCCCTGCCTCCCAGCCACCCCCCCTTTATAAACTGAGTGTGATGTCCATGGTATGGAATATTTCCATTGCCCAATTTGGCCTAGCTGTCTGGCTGTGCTCCCTCCCGGCTCCTGTGTACCTGCTCATTAGCTGAATATGGGAAACTGAAGAAAGTCGCTGATTTCTTAGCAACAACTAAAAACATCAGTTTAATCAACATTCTTCTGGTACTAAATCTAAAACACAGAAGCTACTGAGAAGAAAATTAACTCCATCCCAACCCAAACCAGGACATTATCCACCCCTTATTCTATACCATCTACGTTATGCTCATATCTACATTATGCCCACGCTTTCCAATGAATTACCACCGGTTTTCCTGTCTTTTGGTATCTACACACAGATATCGTTCCCTTAGTCTGTGGGCCATCCCTCTAAAATGTCCGTTGAGTTCATATAGTCCATAACTTTGGGATCTGTCTGTCATAACAGCCTTTCAGGGCAAGAGAGGTAGTGTAATGTCTACTCAGTCAGCAGAGCAGGACCAGGCTTTGGTGCGATGCTGCGGGCAGATGACATTGGGCACAGCAGGAGGATGGTGTGTAGTGTTCGACTGTCGCACACTGCACCTGGAGCTCGCAGTTGATGTATCTGGCATGGCCTGTGTCCATGGTCTACGGGTTGAAGATGTTCTTGTTCTCCCAGAGCAGAAGGTAGAGACGTCTGCCTCTGCCTGAGAGTCAGAAATTCTGTCGCTCAGGTTCTGTACCAAGCCAGCTTTCTGGGAGAAACTGATGTTATCAGCATGAGCTAGTTCCCAGCATACAGTGCAAAAGGGGACAAGGATAACTCTCAGTGACAGTCACTGTTTCCATTTGTGTTTCATTTGTCCTTTTTTCTAGTATAAAAATGAGTCACTGATTTGCCTCAAGTGCGATAAAGTGACTGTTGCCTTCTGTGGTCCTCTGATTGCCCCTGTCCTTTGGCTCCCAGAAAAAGGAGCCATGCCCGGCATTTGATCAGGAGTTGAAAAACTTAGACTCTTTCTCCATGGGAAGGACATGAAAAATAAAAATTAGCTTTTATAAGTTTGTTTGGATATTATGCTTTGTGGCAAGTAGAGTAGAGTATATGAGGAAGATGATTTCAGTAGTCCACCAATAAAACAGCATTTGGTAGAGCACTGGAATGTAAAGGCACTAAATATGCTTGTGTTTTTCTCCTTGTTTTCTTCTGTAGCATGCTGGGAGACCTCACCTCTAGGTAAATGTCATCTTCCTTTTCAGACCATGCAGTCGTAGTTGTTATTTTTAGTTTTTACCCTCTTTCCTATTCCCTTTCCCGCCTCCCAAAAAAAACCCACCAAAACAACTACCCCTTAAGCTGATAGAAATAAGAAGTCTGTGCATTCAGCTGTGAAAATGAAGCCATTACAAAAATATACCTCTGATTTTGTGTACGTGCAAGTATATTCATCACATAATTAAACCCAGTTTATTAAAGGGGATATGTCTGGAACATTTGTGGAGAAATCAGTTTTAACTCTTTTTGAGGGGAAAATTATGATTAGAAAGTATGAAAGAATGAGTGAAGCTGGAGTTCGGGGCTTAGGCGGGCCTGAGGTGGGAAGGGGACTGAAGCAGGCATGAACAGAGCTGTGGATCTGACGCATTCTCTCTTCTCCCCAAAGTGAAGTGGGAACAGAACTGCCGTTTCGTCTCATGCACCCCAAACCTGAGGAAAAGAGCCCAGCAGGTCAGTTATGCCTGCTTTTTGCCTTGCTTTGTTAACAGACTGACGTGAGATCTTACCATTGCAAGGTTTATAGTGATTTGTTCTAGAGGAAGCCTCTAGAGTCTACAAGACTCCAGTATGGGGGCTGCTTTGTGTGTGTATGTACATATGTGTGTGTATGTATATCTCAACCTCAAGGCACAAAATAGCAGAGAGAAGAAGGGATGCTAAGATGGGAGAAGGTGGAAGTGGGTCATGTTCCCTTTTTGTCTTTCATCTGTGGAATCAATTCAAAGCACAGGGGCTTGAGGAAGCACTGCACAGTTGAATCTCATGACTGCTGTGCAAAATCTTCTGAATGAAGCTGTCAGCAATTCTCAGCCAGATTCCAATAGGGCACACCAGTATCTGTTACAGAAAACACGTAAGACACATGAGCATTGTAAATAGCAAAATACTTTTAAGCAAAGTTAAGAGGTGATAAAGCTGTTCACGATTTGAGAGCCCTCATTATCTTGATGTGGCCTTGGCCACGGTGTCTGTGATTTGGCCTTCATGTTCAGTGGGTATCTGAGAGGAATGTCTCTTCAGTCAGGTCAGTAAATTGAAGTGTGGATGCTTTAAAGCAGCGTAAGGAGCTAGCCTTCCCCAGGCATGTTGAGGCTTGGGATCAGATGCCAAAGCTGCAGGCTAGGTTGAGCATCCACGCTGTCCCCCCGCTTCCTCAGGCCCTGGCTGGATCTGTTCTCTAGTGGTGGACACACAGAACGCACAGGGTGCTTGCACTGTGTCAGAAGCTCCTGTGCAGCATCTGAAGTGCCTATTGAACACAAAACAGTATGTCAGCCTTTCGATGCTGGAGCTGTTATAGATCAGTCATCTTGTCCTGCCCTCTGTATTTAGACAAAGTTGCATGGGCTTCAAACAAAAACCCATGGCTGCTTCTGCACTGCTTTGCTTTTTTCTTTCTGTTTTCTTTGGGCCCAAACCTCCCTAAAGGTGCTATATTTAAGAACATGGCCACTGGAAGAAGGTGGAGGAGGCTATGAAAGGTGTTATCCCAAGACAGATGGCATGTTCTATACTGGAAGCATTAGGGAGGGGTGACTTGAGTCCTCACTGTTGTTGGAGGAATCAAATGTGAGTGATGAGAAGAGAGACTGGTGATCCTCTCCACACTCAGCTGCTCTGGTTGGAAATTGGTATTTGCTAATTACGGATGTGCTGGAATGGGCAAAGGGAGGTTTCCTCACTGCTCTCTGAGAATTGTGCTATAGGAAACTCACTTTCACTGGGAAAACGCCTGCTGTGAGCTGTGCCAGCAGCCTCTCTTGGCACAGGCACAGAACGTGCTCACAGGAGAAGTTTTTTGTGCGTGCTACACCCCCATCAGAGTAGCACAGTGAGTCTA